TGCTAGGGAGAAAAGTAAGCTGGGAAGGGAATAGGAAGTATGTGCTTTGAGCAGTGCTTGGAATTTTAGGTAGGATGATCAGGGAAAGCCTAACTCAGAAAGGTGCCATTTGAGTAATTCCCTGACAAAGAGAGGGATGCAGCCATACAGATATCTGGAATGATAGCATTTCAGGCAAAGGCCCTGGGTGGAAATGTAAGGGAAGTTTTCAAGTATCAGCAAGGAAACTAGGTGTCAGTATGGAGGAGGGAAGAAGAGAGAAAGAAGTAAGTGATTTGATCAGAGAGGTCACAGGGGCGGCTAGTGGAGAGCCCTGGAGGTCATAGGGAACCCTTGGAGGGACAGGAGGGACATAATCTGGTATAGATTTGGGTAGGCTGTCATGGTGCTGTGTGGACAATAGGGGAAAATTTTGAAGCAGAAAGAATAGCAAATAGGAGGCTATTGTAATAACCCAGGTGAGAGTGATGGAGAGGAGGGGAGGAGAAGTGGTCAAATTCTAGATATAATTTGAAGAAGACCTGCAGGGTACAGCCAATAGGGCTTGCTGAAGATTAGTTGTTGGGTAGAAAAGAAAAATCAAGGAGGATACCAAGGTATTTAGATGCAGAAAATGGTGTTGCTGAGATGGAGAAGTCTGGACTTTGAACATAGCAATTATGAGATGCCAATTATATGTCCCAGAGCGGATGTCAAAGAACAGTTGGCTTGTATGAGCCTAGGACTCAGGGGTGGCATCTGGACTGAAGAACTAAATTGGGGATTCTTTGGCATCTAGATGAGGCTTCAATTTATGAGGTAGGAGTAGAACACAGAAGATTGATGGGACTCAGGAAAAAAAGCATTGGAGTAATAATAGAGCAGGGTGGCTGTTTCAGATACTTAGCAGAGAAGAGGCCATGGCCTGGTGGAGCCTTTAGCTATGAGGGTGTGGGAATTGAGATCAGGAGGGACCAGGTTAGAGAAACAGAGCTGGGGGTTTCAGCCTGCAGGTAGGGCAGGGAGGGTAGTTGCATAGACTAAAGAGAAGGGAGAGGGCTCAGTTCTGGTATCTTGACAGTTTTTCTTTGAGTAGTGACTGCTGTGGTGGAATTTGGTTCTATGGGCTTGGCTAAGAGCCCTCACTTCTCTTTCCAGTACTGTTCTTCCCATAGTGATGATGAAGTTGTGGTCCTGTGAGAGGATGTGGCTTGCTGACGGTCACAGAGCTAGCTGGTGACAGAAGCAGAACTCAAATCTAGAAACTCCCTAATTGTAGGTGACAAAACACAACTCACTCTAGTTTAAAGCTGCAAAGGAGATATTTTGGCTCACATAGCTGCTCTAGCCTGGGAGGAATGGCTATGGGCACAAGTGGGGCCAGTATTACAAGGACTCCATATCTCTTGTTTTTTCTTATTTGGTTTTTGTCTCTGTGAGTTCTTCAAAGTTGTGGGGGTGTGGATTGGCCTCCAGCAGCCCTGAGGTCAGTCCACACAGCTCAAGATCCAAGAGGAAACCTGGGATTGGCTGGGCCTGGATAATTCACCTAGCAGTGAGAGTAGGAGGAGGAAAGTGGGGGGGGGAGGGTCATACTTCAGAATCCTCTGAAGTGGGAGGTGCAGTTCCCCAAAATAAAGAGAAACCTGTTTCTCAGTGGAAGAGGGGAAAAGATCTGGGCAGAGGGTAGCAACAGGTCACTCCTGGCCAACAGTTGGGTTTCTACAGTTTTTTCCTGTATTTGCAATCAGGAATGGTTGCTGACAGAGGAAAGACCATTATGACAAAAAGAAGGATATAAGCAGGCAATAAAGGTGACAACAGCTTTTAAAAGGGAAACTAAAATCTCTCCCTTTTCCTTCCTTCTTCTTAGTTAGATTTCTAACTTCTAGGGTTAGAGATATCATAGGAATTTCTGCCCATTCAGCAAGTATTTTTACTTATATTTTCAACCACACAGTTAGCCATGGGCCTCTCTTAATCAGAGACTACAAAGATCAGTAATACAGAGCATCAGTTTTCTTTTTTTTTTTGATTGTATGAGGTTTTATTTGATTTATTTACACTGAGTCTTTTCAGTTTAACCAAATGTGAGGATTACAGGTCATACAAAATCTTTGTCAATGTTAGTTGATAGTTTTTGTAATTTTTAATATGGAGGTATTTATAAAAATATTTTTATCAGAATGCATTTCTCTGAATTTACACCAAAAATACATACCTGTGAAATGTTTTCCCTTCATTAAAGCATATTTTCATGTATTAATATATTCTAAATATGTATACTAAACTTCTAATGTCTAGATAATGTTCAGTTTTCTTTATTTTACTGTTTAGGTCATTTAATATATTTCCCAGGGATTCCAAGGGTTGTTATCCTTCAAACACATGAGTATAGATTTAATTTAGTGATGTCAGTTTTTTTTTAACAGTGAAAGCTACCTGCATGGTAAACTTTCATAAGCGTTTTTAGCCCTCTTGCTTGATTTTGTCAGTTTCGACAAATCAGGAGAGGAGCCTGGCTCCTTTGGGCAATTTTTAATTCACTGCCTACTTTGCTTATATGGTCTGTTAGGTCAGGGGAGCATAGCTCAGCCACTTACCAGTCATGAGACTTGAACAAAACTGGAGGCTTAATTTTTCGGACCTGCAAAATGGGCCACTGTGAAGTTTGGTAAGGCTACATGTGACTGCTTTAGAGCACTATGCCATGTTTCTTTGTACTGTTGTGTTTTCATATGAGGCAATTGGCAAGCATTGGCAGTACTAGCTTTAATTCAGTGAGCCAGTCAGTGTTGGCTTTGCTGGCCACTTCCTAATGGGGGGGTGAGGCATGCTATTGCCTTGGTGCTTCCATTTTCTCATCTCAAAAACAAGTTGGCTAGTTCCTGTTCTGACCTCTTGTTATGCCATAGTTATGTGACTCTGACAAACAACTGGAAGAACCTTTTGTAAAATGTTGAAGTACTTATAGAAATGTAAGGTAGCATTATTACTAGACACAAAAGCCAGGTTTCTAGTCTGTTCTTTATAAAATCACAATCCACTTTGCTCATTAAGGGTCTCTTTGGTTCACCCAAAAGTACACTATTTTCTAGATTTGAAACTGCCAACATGAAATTGATTGAATGTTTGAAAATCATATGTTGTAAGGTAAATATTTCACTTTGGAATTAATTTTCTATGTACATTACATTAAGAATATTTCTTCCAGATAATTGTGATAAAGTTCTATTAAGTGTTAGAAAATAGCATGCTCAAGTAGCACTTAGAATCTTAAATCTTTTTTGAAAAAATTTGGTTGATTCTTTTGAAATTAAGCAGGAATGTAATCTTATTTCCTAGTTTTCAGTCAGTATTTCAGTGCTTATATGTAAAGACAACCAAATATTTTTTCTAAAAGTTCATTCATCTAAAAATATGTATATATCTCTATTCAGTGCTCATTTTTCTCACCAGAAGCTTATGTTTTAGCATTTTTTAATCACATTATTTCTTTTAGTCCTACAGGGTCACATGTTGAATGGTGTAAACAGCTTATAGCTGCTACAATTTCTAGTCAGATTTCAGGTTCAGTGACATCAGAAAATGTATCCAGAGATTACAAGGTAAGTGACATTGAGTATTTAATTCATTTTCAGTATCGTAAGCAGCCAAGAAGTTTTGCAGTTTTAATTCAAGGGAGTGGCCCCTCAATGCTTAACTGCCATTTGCTTGGGAATGAGGACAAAGGTTCTCTGTTGTTCAATCTGAAATTTAGAAAAGAAAGTTTGCTAGTATCCAGTATATATGATCATAGTTTTATAAATGAGAGGAAGATCTTGGTCAGTCTCTAAAAAATCAAATTCCATTTTATTATAATAAATACATAGCTGAGTGTGGTGGCACACATCTGTAATTCTAGCACTCAAGAGATTGAGGCAAGAGGATTGTGAATTCACGGTCAGCCTACACTACATAGTGAGTTCAAGGTGAGCCTGGGGTTGCATGGCAAGATCCTGTCTTAAAAAAGCAAACAAACAAACAAACAAGAAGAAATTAATGTATTTCTTTGTTATTCTGTATTTCAGAAAAACTTCTTGATGTACTTCATAACAAACTTGTTTTTTTAAATTTTGGTACAACTTGTGAATATTAAGCCTTAACATGTGATATTAGAATGCAAAAACACTGGCAAAACTCAAAATGAGGCAGGCTCATTTTTCAGTCCTGAAGTTACTGAAGTGAGAAAATCTCTTATTTCTTTTGAAAGTTGGATTCCCTGCTTATTCTAAAGTTAAGAGTGGTAAGCTCTTTATTGGTAGAGATTGATTTCCCAGCACTATTAGGGAGAATAATAGATGTGCAATAAATATTTATTGAATCAATTAACAAACAAAAATCACTTCATCTTTGCTCAGGCTAAATAAATAAAGACTTCATTTTAATGTCAGTAAACTATTAGTAGGTGCACTAAGTGAAACCATGTTTATATTTCAGTTGTGGTGTTTGCTTGAATGGAAGTTTCAGTTTATCATAGTCATTTTTGTCTGCTAGGGAGACATGATTTCTTTCTCATAAGCATGAGTGAAGTACATTTGGTATCAGTTAACAGCCTCTCAAAATTAAGGTTCTTGTCGGGAATCAAATGTTACAAATAGTTCAGGAACTACAATAGAGATCCTAATTAATTCTAAATAGCTGCTCCTTGTTTGGGGGTTTTAGCCTCAGTTCCTCTTTAGCTCATAATGTAACAAGGACATAAATGGACTCAAGAGACCATATAATTGTGATTTGCTATGGTGCTGTCTCTTCATCTAAGCCAGCATATGCTATTGATTATATCTACCAAAGGAAGGTTTGGCTATGGATTACTACAAATTAGATAATCTGCTCGCTAGAAGAATGACATTATATCTCTTAATAGTGTCCCTTGTTACTTGATTTTCATGTTTGCCCTCAAAGGAGCACCTGGGGCTCTTGGTCTTTAAAACCTGGCTAGAAAGACATACTGTGTCCAGTTGGGAGAAGCATTTGCTGCGTCACCAATACCTGGGTAGCGGGCCACAAAATAGTTTCAGATCCTTTTTGTTCCAGTTGCCCTATTGCCTCCACCTTACCTCCTCCACTGAAGGAGAGGCTTAAGGACCCATGGTAGCAGAAGCTAGCATTCACACCTTTGTTGTGATTTTCTTTATTGACAATTATGAGTTAATGTAATGGTTTTCATTATGGTTGAATAGTATTATGAGTTGTATAAAAGATTGAATATTCCCAGGTGTGGTGGTGCACACCTGTAATCCTAGCACTTGGCGGCTAAGGCAGGAGGAATGAGAGTTTGAGGCCAGCCTGGGTTATACAGTGAGACTTTGCCAAAAAAAAAGATTGACTGTTAACTGTGCTCATCGCTTTCTAATATTCACATTAATAGATCAGACTGAATCTGTACTTAAAAATGAAACAATTAGGTTTTATCAATTTTAATCTATAAATTTTGCAAAGGAGAATTAACTCATGTTGGAATAGTTTAATAGGTGCTATTCATAAGAATAAGGATTTTCTATATTTTAGAAATTAAAATTTAAGTACTTACATTAGATCATAGTTAAAACATTTGAAGAATTATTGTAAGATAGCATGTTTCATAACTGTCTTTGTTATATTTGCCTTGGAGCCAAATCTCCAGACTTGTCATTAACTTCATAATTTTGGAGTTTTTATGCTTTCTTTTAGGAGAGAGATTTTAAAACATTAAGGAAACAAAATATTTCTGGACCACAAGGATAATTGTACATGCTACCTATAAAGTAATTCTTAGAATCAGGGAAACCAAGCTGGGCCTCTGAGACCTCTCTAGCATGGGAGCCACTGTACGGGGTTGGCCCTAAAAATCCAGATGCAATTCCTTGAGGATATAAGTTTCAGTGATTAGTTGATAATGATGTTTGAAATTGTCTATTGTGCAAGTATCTTATTTGAAATATACACTTTAATTTGGGGGTGCTTCATTACAGGTTAAACCCAAGTCAAGAATTAATTAGGAACATATTTATATGGGGTATATCATTTGCATCTTATTTGAAATGCTGACTGTCTTCTGAGTTGTAGGCTTCTGAGAGTTTTTCTATATCATCTTCATCAATCCTCTAGCACAGACAAGGCTCCACAGTTTTACAACACATTTTTGTGGTGCTGGGGATGGAACCCAGGACCTTGCACATATTAGGCCAAGTGCTCTACCATTGAGCTACATCCCCAGCCCTATAATACTTTTTTGACATGTCATCCATTTAAGCCTTAAAACAACCAAATGAGGTAGCTATCATTATAAACATAATTTAACAGATGGAAACCAACTCCTAAAGAGGTTAAATTAAACTTGGGATTTGAACTCAAATCATCCTATTGAAAAAAACTAGAGTGATTTTGAAATTTTGTTCTTTTCCCCCTGTCCATTGTTTTTCAAAAGGTGACCTTTGTGTTTCCCGCATCAGTGCTCATTTTTATGCACAATAAAATCTGAAAACTAGTCTTCCTAAATTTGTACCTGCTTAAATTGGTGATAAGACCAAGCATTTCTGATGCATTACTACAAACCAGAATAATTAGCAATTCAAGTTAGATGTTGAGAACAATTATTTATTCTTTCAGTAGTCATAAACTGTCAGTCAGACCAGGGCCACATCATTTAAAGTGTGGTAAGAATATCACTGGTTTCATCTGAGATGAGTTTGGATGATATGACTATGGACATACTTTAATGGTTATGTAATTATTTTATTGTTACTTAGAAAACTAGCACATCAAGCTTATGATTTAATGGATGTTATTGCTTAGAGCAGACTAAGTGTACAAAAGAAGTGGATTTTTAAATCAATGTAAAGATAAATTTTTATTCCTACATAATTTTTATAGTTATCAGAGCAAAATGCAATTTCTGACTGTTTTCACTTAACATGTATGCCTTAAAATAAGATAGCATTAATTAACAACAAATATTAATATTGGTAGAAGTGCTATGCAGAGACAGCAAACCAAACATGTAGAGGTAGTATTTTGAAATAACATATTTGGTAAACATTTCACAGCTGAAAGATAGATAGCTATTATACAGAATGGTGGATCAACTAAGTTAAGAAATGCATGCTTTAATACCAAGTTACTCTAAAGATTAGATCAATAGACTATTGAAGAAATGTAATAAAATGTTTTGCTTCCCACACCCAGTTAAGTCACTTTCATTTTAATCGGTTAACAGACAGTAAAAAAACAAAAACCAAAAAACTTTCCTTTGAATTTGTCAAAAATTTTAACAAGATTTTATTGTAATCTTCTATACATTAGACGAAATAATATAGTTACAAGTTGTAATGAAATGTTTCTAGTAACTATTAGTAGAAATGACACTTGATCACAACTTCTATTGTTTTGAAAGTAGAACTAGAAAAAGCCAGGAAAAGGGAATCTAATGGAGTAGTACAAACAGTATTGGTTAGCTTTGTGACCTTGTATAATCTCCGAGGACAGTTTCTTTATCTCTAAGGAAAAAAGGGGTTGGGATAGATTTTAAGCATCTAAATGCCTTTGTTTCTGGAACATTTGTCAATTATGTTTTGTTCAAAAGGGTTTGATTCTGGCTGGCCTTATGGAAATTAGGACACTATACTTTTAATGTGATTATCTTGCTTCTTTTGGTTCCATCATTATCATCATCACCTCTCTGTTCCTCTCCTACTCTTTCTCTTCCTCTTGTGTATGGCTGTCCTTGAACCTTGATCCTCTTGATCTCTACCTCCTGAGTAGCTGGGATTACAGGTGCGAGCCACCATGCCGAGACCCCCCCCCCATTTTTTTTGGTGTGGTGCTGGAGATTGAATTAAAGACCTCACAAATGCTATGCAACCTCCCTACCACTGAGCCACACCTTCGGACTCTGGGTTTTGGTTTTGCCACATATATCCCAGATTTATTGCTGAAGAAGAGAGTGACTCAGAAATACCAGTAGATATAAATAAGAAAAGCCAACTTTGTCTAGCAGGAGGACCAGGAAAAGGGTGACCTCACCAAAAGAAAACGTTTACACACTAATCACTCTATTCCAGCAAAATACCACAGAAAAAAGGGTGGTCCCATACCCATCCTACCAGCAAAGCCATTTGGTAAACTTAGATTCCATTCTTGCCAGGTTATAAGGAGCTTTCTACCCTCTGAAGTCTGCGGAGACCCAGTGGGAACTTAGACTTCTAACCTGCCTATAAGTAATAAGGCAGTGTCTCCCCTCCCCCTGCTGCTGGAGCAGTGTGAAAGACAACCAGCTAAAACAAAAGGTTTAAATAATACCCACCATCTCAAACGTAATGTCCCAAATGTCCAAGTTTCAATTGAAAATGACTTGGCATTCCAAGAATGGGGAAGATCTCAGATTGAATAGAAAAAGAGAATCAATGTGGGCTGGGGAATATAGCTTATGGTAGGCTGATTGCTTAGGCCATTGGCGTGGAAGGGGGGAAGAGAGAGAGAGAGAGAGAAGATCAATAAATGTCAAAACTTAGATGACAAGAGATGTTAGAATTATGTGTAAAAATTTGTAAAGTCGCCTTAATGAACAATTACAAGCATGCTTAAAGCA